GCATAAAGGACATTGTGATGTACAGCATGATATCTTATTAAATTTCTTGTTTTACTAAATAAGCTCTATCTAGATAGCTACATTTGTGTGAAGATTTTCTAAGTTTGGCAATCTGAAAGGACTGACCAGACTCCACAGTGGATACTCACCTAAGGCATTTATTTAAATGTAAAATATTCTGGTACAACAAAAGAAAGATAGTGCAGGTAAGTATTGGAGGGTAAAGAGATATCCCGTGTGTAAGGTGCTATTATTGGGAAAACTCAAAGGAGAAGAACCCAGGGAAACCATTTATGTTCCTTTGGCCACGTACAGAAGCCTGGCTTATCAGGCTTTAGAAAACCAGTTGCAAATATCAGTAAAGATCCTCACTCTGAGGGACCCTAATACATCATAAAACCCCACTGCTCTTATCTTGGCCATTGGTAAAAACCAGACACACAGATGTCCCTGAAGTAAAGATAGAGTTTCCAAGTACAGCTATAGGTTCATTCTACATTCACATGTATCTAGTTTATCATTTATAATCATGTGATACCATTTCATATCATACATTCTTTAAGTATTATTTTGTCATTTCCCTAGAGAAGGACATCTAGGTTTTTCTCCAATTCCCAAATACCACAAGCAGCACTGTGATATAATATCCTTACATATGTGCTTAAATAATTATTTAAGAAACCAAGGTGTAGAATTACTGGGTCATCAGTAGAGCATTCATTTAACTTATCTTCCATATCGAAATAACTTTGAGAATGGAAGAGAGAATCTATAATAATAAAAGGTAATTGCTAATTAGACCGAAAGACTTTCCGGAAACCTTCCTGACAAAGCTGGGGGCTTGGCCGTCCTGCAAACTGCCCCCAAATGTCCCTCAGCCCCTCGCCCAGGCTGGCCACACCCCCCAGCGACGACCCTTACCCTGATGAGGGCGTGGCCTGCCTGCAAACTGCTCCATCCCCTTGCCTAGGCCAGCACTGCCCCTCAAGGGGCCCCCCACCCTGATCCAGGGCACCCTTCAGGGCAGATCAGCTGGCCCCCACCCATGCACTAGGCTTCTATCTATACTAATAAAAGGGTAATATGCTAATTAGACTGGGAGACTTACTGGATGTTCTTCTCAACAAAGCCATGGTGGTGGGGCTGAGGCAGAGACGGTTAGGGGCAATCAGGCCAGGAGGGGAAGGCAGTTGCGGGCAAGCAGGCTGGCCAGGGGGGCGGGGGGCAGTTTGGGGTGAGAAGGCCAGAAGGGGGGGCAGTTGGGAGCAATCAGACTGGCAGGGGGAAGGGGGCAGTTGGGGATGAGAAGGCCAGCAGGGGGGGGCAGTTGGAGGTGAGCAGGCAGGCAGGCAGGCAGGTGAGCAGTTAGGAGCCAGTGTCCCAGATTGGAGAGGGTGCAGGGTGGGCTTAGGGACATGCCACCCTGGGTGCATGAATTCCATTCACCGGGCCACTAGTTATTAATAGTTAAGCTAGAGCATCAGCACAACCAGAAAGTAAGCAGCCCAGTTTTCATGTATACACTTAATATACTAGCCTATTCTCCAGATAACAAAGTGCCTGCTAACACTTAGTATTCTCAAATTTCTGACTTGGTAATGTGATAGGTTCAATAATCCTTTCATTTGCCTTTTTATCCACTTATTTGCTAGTTATATAGTCTTTTCTATATTTTAATTTTAAATTTACAGCTTTAAATTTTTTTCTATTTTAAATATGCAGTTGGTGTCAAATTTATACAGATATTATTAGTCCTCAATTTTTCACCTACCCATTAACTTTATCTTTGAACAGAAAAGTCCATCTTTCCTCCTCCTCCTCCCACATCTCATTCCTCAGTTACACAGGAGACACAGGTTTGATTTTCCCATATCACTCTTGTAACATTCCATACTTTTCCTTCTATACCAGTTATTATTTATCATTACTTATAAGGCAGCTGGGTTAATACAATCAGAAACCATATCTATTTGCTAACCAGTGTATCACCAGCACCTAGTGTAGTTTTTGCATATTAAATGTGCTTATCAAATATTTACTAATTAGATGAATGAATTGGCAAAGTCACTTTGCTTCATAAGTTTTGTTTATTTTTATTTCTATGCATTGAAAATTTTTTTATGGATTATTCTATGTTCTCATTTATCTCTCCCATCTGACTAATGCAATTGGATGAGGTATAGGTGTCTCTGTCTGAAGGAGAGGGAATGGGTGTGAGGCTTGACAACACCACTGCATGATTGAATGGCCCATTTCCCAGAGAAATGGAAAGGATATGCTAATCTTGGCTTTATATATATACATAAAGAAGTTGCATAGAAGACCTATTGTAATAAATTAAGTTGTGTTATGAATTAGGATATACCACAGAAAAGCTCTCTTTAACAAAAACAGATTGGAATATGCCTTTCTTCATATATATATTATATGAACATACAAGAGGCCCGGTGCATGAAAATTCATGCACTGGAGGGGGGGGGTCACTCAGTCCAGTCTGCCCCTCTCACAGTGTAGAAGCCCTCAGGAATGGGAGGTGACCCAACAATCAGGGAAAGGCAATGTCCCCATCACACCTCTGCTGTCCCCATCACACCTCTGCTGTCCCCATCACACCTCTGCTGCTACTACTGCTGGCAGCGCAAGCCTTGGCTGGCCCTTGTTACCTGAGCCTTGGGCGGCCCTGAGCGGCTGCGCAGCTGCCATCCTAGGCTTGCCTGCATCTGGGGCATTAGCTGAGCAGTGACATCAGAAGCTTGCCTGTGCCTAGGCCAGCCCTGGGTGGCTGGGGGGCTGAGGGTGGGTCAGGCCGCACCATGTGCCTGCCACCACCCCTCAGCTGGGCTGAAAGGACTGGAGGACCCTGGCGGGACTGAGGGGACTGGGTGCTACCATCTTGTGACTATGGGTGCCACCATCTTTTGTGACTGCATGACAGTCAATTTGCATATTCCCTCTTTATTAGATAGGATAATCACAACTCTTCCTGAGGTAAGAGTGAACATGATTCAAAGATAGTAAGTACATAGGCATGGATTTCTCTTCTTCCAAAATACTTCCTAGGTGTGAATAAGAAGAAAGAATAGGAACAAATTTAAAGCCTTGCTAAACGGCAAATCAAGTAAACTGGGTTCTTCTGTGTTTGCTTAGTAAAGTCAACATTTATGATTATCTTGGAGCACAATCTCTGGTTGGGGTAAGAACAAAGTGCTACCTTTATTTAGGCTATTAAAATCCTGAAATTCAAGTTTTAAAAAGATTCAAAAGGAGATGAATGCATTTTAAAGCAAAATGCTTTCCCTTGTATGCAGAATACAGCTTTGTTGTAAAATCAGGCTACCTTCTGAATGATATTATGTATTTCTTTTTTCTTTTTTAATAAGTTGATTCATTCATAGCTCAAACAATTGTATTTAATGCAGCAATTGCAGCTAAAAATGCATTATATTCTTTGTTTTCTCCTGAACATTACTTGAGGATGAGCATTTAATAAGAAATTGTGATCCTTAAAAATCTTTTGGCAGTTTCAATGCAACTTAAAAGAGAAAATACATAATTTTAAATTAAGTTGTCATGGTATAAAATAGGTTTGGTACTATCAGCAGTTTTAGGCATCCACTGGGTATCTTGGAATAAACCCCCCACAAATAAGGGGGGATGACTGTATTAATAACCACTCACCTTAAATGAGCATTTTCTGTGTTAGAACTGTCTCAACATATCACAAAACTCATGTAATGCTCACAAGGACTATTTATTTTCCCTTTCCTCTCTCTCCCTCTTGCTCCTCAAAGGCCCTGGGCTTTGGGAAAATAACAGCTGGGAGGAGACACATAGGCTTCCTGCTTTCAACTTTGCAACCTTAGCTGAGGTAGTGAACAAAGAATGCAACCCTGTCATTGAACTGGAAATTGAACCACTGAGCCATGCTGGCCAGCCTATATGTGTATTTTTAGGTACTTCCTTCTTCCTCTCTGCTCTCAATTTCCATTTCCCTTGTGAAAAAAATTCTTATGCTCTCTTGTTATTCAGGAAAGGATCACTACTGAAGCTTACCACTCCCACTCCTACCCTTCTTACCCAAATCCCAATTAAACCTTTGACTGATATGTTAATTTTGTAGGGCTGCTATAACAAAATGACCTCAAACTAGGTGGCTTAAAACAACAGAAATTGATTCTATCATAAATTCTAGTGGTTAGATTTTTTCAAGAGAATAATTTGAACTTCTGTTGGCTGCCAGCAATCCTTGATGCTCGTTGGTTTGTGCCAGGATAACTCCCATCTCTGTCTCTGGCTTCACACCGTATGGCATTCTTTTTGAGTGTCTCTGTGTCTCCAAATTTTTCACTCCTTATAAAAATACCAGTCACTGAGTGTAGGGCCCATCTTAATCCAGTGTCCATCTGTTCCATGCATCTATGCCTCTGGACCTATTTTATTCTTCAGTTTATTTTCACTATGTGGACAAAAAGGGTGGGATAAACTCTAACCCTAACCCTAACCCTAACCCTAACCCTAACCCACAGCCCCTGGCTCCTCACTTTGCAAGAAACCCAAGGCTGAGGGTCCATGTCCCTGCCCACTGACCAGAGTGAACCAGCTCCAAATGAGGAAAACTTAGGTTGCTTATCTCAGGTACTTTTCCTTCAGCAATGTTTTCATTTTATGGCAAATATTTAAATAATTTCTTTAAGTCAAATTATATAAAAAATGGCTTCATATTTCATTTTGATTTTCTCATGATAATGTGGATTTAGGTCTGCACATTTCCCATATGTGGTCCCTAAATGAAGGACATAATATAAAAAAATAGGAGGGACATTTGTGTAAAATTTTGGCAACAGAAAACTACACAAATATAAATGGTCTCATAGGCATGGGTTTCTCTTCTTCCAAAATACTTCCTAGATGTGAATAAGAAGAAAGAATAGGAACAAATTTAAAGCCTTGGTAAAGTGTAAATCAAGTAAACTGGGTTCTTCTGTGTTTGCTTAGTAAAGTCAACATTTATGATTATCTTGGAGCACAATCTCTGGTTGGGGTAAGAACAAAGTGCTACCTTTATTTAGGCTATTAAAATCCTGAAATTCAAGTTTTAAAAAGATTCAAAAGGAGATGAATGCATCTTAAAGCAAAATGCTTTCCCTTGTATGCAGTGAGCCAGAATTCAGCTTTGTTGTAAAATCAGGCTACATTCTGAATGATATTATGTATTTCTTTTTTCTTTTTTAATAAGTTGATTCATTCATAGCTCAAACAATTGTATTTAATGCAGCAATTGCAGCTAAAAATGCATTATATTCTTTGTTTTCTCCTGAACATTACTTGAGGATGAGCATTTAATAAGAAATTGTGATCTTTAAAAATCTTTTGGCAGTTTCAATGCAACTTAAAAGAGAAAATACATAATTTTAAATTAAGTTGTCATGGTATAAAATAGTTGTTTACATTTTTAACCAGCATTTCTTCTTTGTTGATTATAAAAAAATGCTAAGTTTTATTATTTTGATGATTGATTTTCCAAGAGATTTTTAACTGAATTACAAAGCTACATAGCATAAGGTGTGTGTGTGTGTGTGTGTGTGTGTGTGTGTGTGTTTCCCAAATACACTTTTCTTTTTACCAAAACACAGGAAAACAAATACATTTAATTTATTTTCAATAAGTTTAAATCCATGGATTCTGTATCCAATGGCCTTAGCAGCAGGGTTGCTTTGGAATTTAGCACGAACCATGTCACTGCTTCCATGAGCACCAGTTACCTTTCTCCCCATTACTCTGGTTTTGTTTGGCTTGCCACCAGGAGTCACTGTGGTGTTCTTTGCTTTGTACACATAGGCACAATTTTTGCCTAGATAGAATTCTGTTTCATCTTAGGCATAAACCGTCAGTTTTAAGAAGAGTTGTGTGCTCCCTTTGGTTCTGGAAATCCTGCTTACAGCCCATAAAAATGACCATGTACCACAGCCTTCCACACATATTTGTCATAAGAGAAGCCCTGTTCCCAGCAGGTCTCCAGATGGCGGAAAAAGGTTCAACTATGTTTTAATTGATTTCAGAGAAAGGAAGGGGCAGGGAGAGAAAAATAGAAACATCAATGATGAGAGAAAATCATTGATTAACTGCTTTCTAAGGCATGTGCCCTGACTGGGAATTGAACTGTGACTTCCTACTTCCTGGGTTTCTGTTCAAATATTGAGCCACACCTTCCAGGATAGCTTAGATTTATAATTAAAATTTATAGCAAAACATTTTTATGCAATTAAGTCATATTCAAAATTTTTTTTTAGTTATTTAAGAAATCATATAAGTTTTTATAGTCTCTTTTATTCAACGGTTTTGAATATTATGGAACTTACCTAGTTGTGATATTTTACAGCATTGCCCCCAAACATCTGCAATAAATTCCACTGGGAGAGAAGGGGCTTATTTTAAATGGAAGTTCTGGATCCTATCCCACATTTATCAGTACCTCTTGAAAATACAGTTCATGAAACTGTTTATAACAATTTTTTTAGTTGTTATTGTCATAGTCAAGGAAGGAAGAAAAGAAGGAAGGAGGGAAGGAAGGAAGAAAGGAAGAAGGAAGGAGGGAAGAAGGAAGGAAGGAAGGAAGGAAGGAAGGAAGGAAGGAAGGAAGGAAGGGAAGGAAGAAAGAAGGAAGGAAGGAAGAAAAGAAAGAAGGAAGGAAGGAAGAAAAGAAAGAAGGAAGGAAGAAAGGGTGTCATCAGTCATCTGTTCTTGGCCAGTCTCCCATCTTTGTTTCCAGCCAGACATCTCACTCTGGATGACTGAGGAAGGATATAATTATCTTACAATTTTTATCTTGACTTTACTTTCTACCTCTCATTTTTAGATTCTTTATTCAGGGAGAGTTTTAAGAAGTAGGATCAGAAATCAAAGCATTATCTGAACAACCAAGAAGGTCACTTGCTTCTGGGGAGCAGCTACTGGACCTCAGTCCAGTGATTATCCTGTCTCTCACAATAGACAGAATTTATTGTTCATTGAATTAATTGCTCCATCACCCCCTCTAGACTAGAGAAATGAAGGGCTTGAGTGCCTAAACTTTATTGATACAATTTAAAGGTAAGGGGTAAAAAAGCCACTTTTAACCGATATTTCAGTGAAATTAAATTAAAACAAAACAAAACAGATTCATATAATCTAAACCAAAAAGTAGAAAACTACAGTCTGTAGGCTAAATCTGACTGACTGCTAGGTTTTATGAATACCAGTTGACTAGGACACAAACCAGAGCATGTGTTTATGTCTGATTTCACACTACAACAGCAGAGTTGAGGAGTTGTAACAGAAATTGCATAATATATTTATATCTATAGAACATCCTTGATTTTACTTCTTGGCCATCAATGCTTAAAATATTTACCATCTGGCTTTTCAATGCACAGTTTACTAATCCTATTCTCAACCAAAACAGTCATGGTGTATTTTTTCCAGCTTCTGAAAGCAAAATACTCAACAATGGAATTCCCTAAAAAGATTTCCCATAGAAATAGAAAATTTGAATAAACCAATTACTAGTAAGAGGACTGAATTAGTAATCCAAATTTCTCCCAATGAAGCAAAGCCCAAGCCTAGATGGCTTTACTGCTGAATTTCACTAAACATTTAAGAAAGAATTAAAATCACACAGTGTGTCTTTCACAATCTGACATATTTCACTTAGAAACTTAAAAGTGGTTTTCACATCTTGGCTATTGTAAATGATACTGTTATGAACAGGTGTGTGTGTATCTCAATTTCTTCATTTATTTTCAGAAAATTTGTTGTTAGTGTATAGAAAGGCAACTGCTTTGTGCATGTTTATTTTGTATCCTGCAAGCTTACAGAATTTATTGATTAGATCTAAACATTTTTTGGTTGTGTCTTTCGGATTTTCTTTATATAAAACCATGTCATCTAAAAATTGAGACCATTTTACTTCTTTCTAATTGTGGTTCCTTTTGTTTCTTTACTTTTTTTTTTTTTTTTTTTTTTTTTTTTGCCTGCTTTCATTTATATGTGGAATCTAAAGAAAAACAACAAAAAACAACACATAAACAAACAACTCATAGAAAAGGTGGTCAGACTACTTATGGTTACCAGAGATGGAAGATGGGGGAAGGGAGAATTGGAGGAGAGTGGCCAAAAGGCACAAACATGCAGTTATAAGATATATACTAGTAAGTACTAGGGATATAATGTGCAATATGATGGCGATAGCTAACATTACTACATGATGCAAATGAACATTCTTTATCCACTGAGCCAACCCGGTTTCGGCTGCAAATGAACATTCTTAAGAGAGTGAATCCTAAAAGTTCTCATTACAAGTAGACTTTTTTCCTATTGTACCTATTTGAGATAGTGGATGTTAGCTAAACCTATTGCATTATTCATTCCATTATATGTAAATCAAACCATCATGCTGTATGCCTTAAACTTGTACGGTAAAGTATGTCAATCATTTCCTAATAAAATTGGGGAGTGGAAAAAGGATTCCTCATATAAATGTTAAAACATACCATGTTTTTCCTCACTAACCAGCACAAGATAACCTGAAATATGTAAGAATAACTGCTTTAATCTCAATAACCACAATAGCACCTATCACAGTAGGGAGTCAATAAATATTTGGTGAGATAAATCTTTAAAAATGCATGTGCATTCTGCATCTTATTTATTACATATCTCTATTATAGAATAATGTTTTCCTAAACATTTGAGTGAAATGGATGATCTAGGAAGAATACACGATGAGCTTTTCAGTACTGCCCCAGATGGAAGGAGCTCAACAAATTGCCCTTAAGGTTTCTGCCCATTTTTTGAGAATTTAAGCAATTCTCCCTCCATCAAAAAGTGTATGTTGAAAAGTATACATTTGTATAGCTACAGACAAATTGATTCCATGTATCTCCAATAATACAATAACCTGTATACCAAGTATAAGCATATTTAAAGTCCTCAAGTTACTGATGTGTTTAATGGTCCTAAGCGCTACTTATCCTGTCTCCTCCAGCAGCTCAGCAAGTACAAGAATCTGCATCAGTCAGGAAGGCTCACTTCATCAGCCCCAATACTGCTCTCTCAGTTCACAGAGATCTGTGTCCTATACCTGTGAGGAATAAGGGTCAGGACAGATCACCCACACCAGCTGCTTAAGAGGGGAGGGAAGAAGAAAGCCCAAAGAACCCAGGCTATGAAAATAACCAAAGAACCATAGCAGTAACCAACCACACACTGCTCCCATAGCCACTCTTTTATTCCAGTTTCTGCAGGGATATGGACCAAGGAAAATGACCATTAAACCATCCAGACTAGAATTGGCCTCATGGTAAAATGTTCCAGAAACATTATTTCCTTCCCCCTCCCCTTTCTTTCTTTGTGTTTTTAGGTTCACGATTCTTATTCCCAGTTTTACATAATATAAAGAGCAAATCAACAAGATGTACTGTCAAAAAAATTATTTATTCCTTTTTCATGTATTGTACATTATTCAAAAGAAATCTCTTACATCTAAATCATCCTATGTGGATCACATGAGGCTGGCCTGAGGGACCAAGAATGATGCTCTGGAATCATTTTTCCTGGGTTCCACGTTAGGTGCACCATTTACAAATTGGCTGACTGAGGACACACTGCTTAAGCTCTCAATGCTTCCTATTCCTCTTTGCTAAAATAATATTTTATAGCACGGCCTGTATGGCTCAGAGGTTGAGCATCAACCTATGAACCAGGAAGTTAGGGATTGATTCCAAGTCAGGGCACATGTCTGGGTTGTGAGCTTGATCCTTAGTAGGGGGCATGAAGGAGGCAGCCAATCAATTCTCTATCATCATTGATATTTCTATCTCTTTCCCTTCCTCTCTGAAATCAATAAAAAAAAATTTTAAAGAAATTTAAAATAATATAAGCTTTTTGATATATTGAATGAGAACATGTATGTAAAACTCTTATAATTGTGGCACATTTTTATTATTAGGTGGTATTATATTAGTGTTAATGATGTTCAAGCTTTCAGCATAACCAAAGGGCCCTCCAATGACCAGCCCCCCTTACCTCTGTGGCTCCTGCACAGGCTTCATCACACTCCCTACCTCTTTGCTCCACCAAAGCCAAGTTATCTTTTAGCCCAAAATTATTTTATCGCTGTCCTCCTTATCTTTGCTAATACTGCACTGCCTAGTTGTGATTCAACATTCTCTTCACACAATCTATTTTTTATTAAGCTTCAACCACTTAGAATTGAATGCTGCTATATATGTGCCCCTGGCCAGACATTTTGTACAAATTTCTTCATTCCTCTTTCTTATCTTCTTCCACTGGACTATGAACCCTTCAAGGGCAGAAGAGTGTTTTAGTCACCATTTTACCCATACCCCCTAGCAGCTGTTATAGAACACATTTAGGAAAATGTATGTTGAATTAAAGCAGACTGAAGGGCCCAGTGTAGTAATGCTGAAGTCATAGAATTCTGTTTAAAGTACAGCCACAGGAATTGGCTCAGTGACCTCTTCTAGCAGCAAATATCATTTATTACTATGAACTGCATAAAAGAATTGTCTTTATTTGTTCAAAATTCAATGTCCTTTAATCCCATGAATTGAATTAAGAAATGTATTCTTATTCATGGAATTCAATTTTTAAAATACCTGAGATGTTTCTAACAAGCTCATTCAGAGTCCAGGATAGTTTTCTTCTTAATAAGTAATACTCCATTTTTCTATTTTACTATTCTTTTTATTTATAGGTGTCATACAATGTTTTTATAATTGTTTATACTATCTTTAATCAATTGGTACAATAATAACTAAACCAATTATAAAATATAAATATGTCCCCATAATTTCCTCTTTGGTAAATTTTACCCAAAATGAATGAAGTACTTTATATAAATAACCACCTAATTTATATTTTGCAAATGGACTCTTTGCTAAAGAAAAGAATAATCTATTCTACGCAATGGCTCAAAAATTCATTTGAGAAATTAGTGAATAGGATTTTATACTTTATT